TAGTAATAATAATAGTAATAATAATAATAATGTTAAACAGATTTTTAAAATGCATTTGAAGAGCAGGCTGCACTTAGGGAAATTATTCAACATTACGATACGATGTCATCTACTTTACCTAGAGGGACTTGCAAAGCGTGGCCAGTTTTTGCACACCAGCCTACTGGGTGAACGTCAGGGCTGTCCGCGTCGGCCCAGAAATCGTAATTACGGTCCCAACCGTCAAAATGGATCTAAAAGAGGCACACAGTCTTGGTGAGAGATGCAGTTAAGGACGTGACTCAGCTCTTATTTTAACCTCCCCCTTTGTTTCACCTTGCTCAGCTTGGGGCTGATTCATTCAATCTCTCAGTCAAGCTCAATCACCCTTGTGCTCACTGTAACTGTTTGTTTACCTGACCCCTGTGTCTACGTTTTACAGAGCAACCGGATTCTGGTGACACAAACCACAGCGCCTGCAAGAAAGCACAGACCATGGGGTGCTCCAGCATACTCAGAGAAGAGCAGAGCCACAAGGATGGGGAGGGCTCTGGAGAACAAGCCTGATGAGGAGCGGCTGAGGGAACTGGGCTTGTTTAGCCTGGAGAAGAGAAGGCTGAGGGGAGACCTCATCACCACCTACAACTGCCTCAAGGGAGGTTGTAGAGAGGTGGGTGCTGGTCTCTTCTCCCAGGTGATGGGGGATAGAACAAGGGGAAACGGCACCAAGCTGTGCCAAGGGAGGTTCAGGTCAGAGATAAGGAGGAAGTTCTTTACTGAGAGGGTCGTCAGAAGCTGGAACAGGCTGCCCAGGGAGGTGATGGACAGCGGGCAGACGAGGTACTTAAGGATATGGTTTAGGGGGTAGACAGGAACGGTTGGACGTGATGATCTCAGGGGTCTTTTCCAACTGAGCGATTCTGTGATACTCCCTACTCAAAGACGAAATTTATGCAAACAGAATTGCTTATTTAATTGTTTTGTTTTCTGAGGATCCCAAAATGCTATAAAACCCAAAAAGTTTGGTGAGTTTTGCGATGAACAAGCTAGAATCTTCTGCTGGATGAAGGGACAAGCAATAGTCAGCTCAGAGCCAGGTCAGGTTAACAGAGACTAAGGATCACTGCAGCTCAATGCCTGCTGGGTTGTCTATGTGGCCAAGTTTCAAACAAACGTAAGGACCGAGGATCATGCCACTAAATATTGGCAGGACTTGACTTCTGCTTGCAAACACAGTGATGAATCTGAGAATCAAATGGCTGATGGAGAGTGAACTCTACCCCTGCTCACACACACACTCATCCCTTGGGAAGGAGACCTGTGGCCAAGGAGCCTCTGTCAGTGCAGCCTCCACCTCAGCTGGCTCAGACTTAAATCTCTCAGAAGCCAAAGCACACCAGATTTTTCTGACAATTTATTAATGTGAAGAGAATAAGTTAAAATGCACTTATGCAACAAATTCATATGGAGAATGAAGCTGCTTCCTACACGTGCCAGGGTTTAATTTGCTTTGGGTTTTCCTTTAGGGGGAAAAAAAAAAGTTGTCAGGTAGCTTCCCACCAGCAGAACATTAATGCTGCCTTCACTCACACAGATCACACAGAAACCACTAAGAGCTGTTGTCAAATGTTATTTCAAAATAGTTACACTAAAACAGTGACTAACAATACCAGGCAATTCCATCAGATTTCAACAGGACAAAACAACAGAAATCGTTTCCAGTTGGGCAGGCCTGCGGGCTGGATCATCTGCAAGGCGTCTGTTTGCTGCTCCTCGTACCAAACCGGTATTTTTTCTGGACTGCCAATCGCTATATTCCTCAGCACAAGGGCTCTGCACTTTGAAGCAAGGTCATACCTTAATGCGATGGTCGTCTTTGTCAACTATTGTTGCCACTCTTATCAAGATGGGATTTCTTCTGTCCACAGCCTCTAACTTCGTATTAACTTGGAATCCGTGAGCAGGACGCTGTTAAGAGAGGATTGTAAGCAGAATGCTAAAGAGTCTGGGAGTCAGAGCTGGTCACCTGCTCTGAATAAAATGCGCTGAAGTTTTCATTTACCATTCAAATGCCTTTGCACCTTTGGCCCCTGATCTCACACGGCAGGCTGACTCACAAGGTAGAATCAGAGTTTCCTACAGAATTAAGCTGTCTCTTTATCAGCAGTCCAAAACAACTCAAGAGGAAGCCTGAGCTTTCGCAGTGCAGAGGAGCATTTCACAGCCAGGGCAGGAGGTACTTCCCGAACACAAAAAAGCCCAGATATTACCACAAGCTCCATCGACACAAACTCTGCAGCCTGACAGCAAAACTCCCAACCACCACAGAGAAACAACGTCCCATCCGACAAGGACAGGGGCCAGCTCACCACTGAACACCTGAAACACGCCACTGCGTCACATCTCTCTCCACTACACGCCGTGACGTCCTTCTCGACATCTGGATCTCACAGTTACCTTCACCAAGCAGGTCACCACCCACTTCTCATGGCAACAACTACGTCTGCTTGTAAATGATGACGCCTGAGAACTGCAGTGCTGGGACTCGAGAGCAGCTCCAGCTGCCAGTCTCCCATCTGCAGTTGCTGATTTACTCTTTCTCTCAAACCCCAGCGGTGAAACTACTTTGTAAAAACTCCACAATGTCCTTTTCGACCTGATGCGTGCCCTCTGCAGCACCCACAGATGTAAACCTCTAAGTAACAGGCAGAGTTCACCACTTTTTCCATTTATCTTTAAATGACTGACTGCAAATTCCTCCTCTGACCTCCTCAGCTGGGGGTTATGGAGCACTGGATACTCATTCAACACACGTCCTTCTTCACTTCTGCACATAAAGGTCAGGATTTTAGCAAGAGATGATAAACTGTGTCTTTGAACAAGATCAGGTTAATGAAAAGATGATTATAATCACTCTTCCCTCACAATATTCCTTACCCTTTTTACTGCCGATAGCTGGGGGCGGGGAAGGAGACCCACTCTTGAGCTAAGGGGATTACAGACTCCAAACCTCAACTTTCTCTTTGGTCTTTTCACCTGGACACAGACATTCCTCCACACAACACATCAGAAGCCAATTTAAACTGCTTTTAGTTTTAAAAGCATCATATTGAGCCAGCCAACCTTGTCCATCTTCCTTAAGAAGGAGCCCAAGTGCTAGAGGACAAAATCCTGCCCAGGAGAGGAGCAGGGCTGTTCGTTTAAGTCTTGTTTAAGTCTGGTTGAAGGGTCGCTGCCTTTTTGGCGACAGCTTGGGAATGTTTTTGAGCTGACAGCCCCGACAATGGGCTGAAATAGCGATGCTGACAACCAAGCTGTCTCCTGTGTTTCTGGGTGGAGGAGAAGGCAGAAATCCAGACACAAGATTTGCTATTTGTGCTGATGATCAGTGTCTCCAGACCACTTAAGAGAGCTCTTGAAAACTGTTAAAAACTAATTCAGTGAGAGATGTCTGTTCTGGCTCTCACCCCGTATTTTTATGTACTGATTTCCTGTAATTGCTAGCTGGAATAATAATAATAATAAAAAAAAATCAATAACTGTGCCATGTATTTGCACTTCAGACCAACCACATCATAAAAATAACAAGGTTTGATCTTGAAAGAGTTCTATTAACTGTTGATATATCAAATGCCTTTTTTTCCCCCCATCTCATTTTTGAAACACAGTCTTGGATGCTAATTTTATATCCTGGAGTTTCGTGCGAGCCAGAATTGGCCCTTCTGCTCCTCTCTGACAGCCAGACACCTGAAGGAGCAAAGCAAAGGCTGCAGAGACGTTCGCTGAACAGGAAAAGAGTCAGACAAGGCAGCTGTGTTCCCTCTTGGGAAGATATTTCACTTGGGAAGAATCCAAACAAGGGAGTACTTGGTACTGAAAAGGCTCCCTGTCCTGAGCAAAGCCCTGCTATCTTCAGGTGACATTTGTCAACACATTTTATATCCTGGAAATCTGAGGAAAGAATGCTGTAGTGACAGATTACTGAGGACTTCAGGCTGGGAGTCTGAAGTAGGTCATACTCCACTGTTTCTTTTTGTATCACAAAGAGTTTTATCATCTTTCCAAAATATTTCTGTCTACACAACTACCTGCATTGCTCCTCTATTGTGCAGAAGCCCGACTGCTGCATCCTTTGGCTCTTGGTATTCTGCAGGTTCTCATCTTACCCCACTGCTGGGATTTGACGGGCACGGCTCAGGAAAAGGCTGAGCCTGCACTGGGGACACAAGCACTGACAACCTGCGCTGGCTCTGAGGTGCTTCACGTGCACCATCGAAGACGCTGTCTGCCCAGCTCTGGAAAAACCTCAATCCAAGGGATGTTTTGGAGCACAGTTGTACTGCAGATAACTCCAGCTGAGGCCTTACCATTCTCCAAAGAGGCAAACCCAGCTTCTTCCTATTCCCTGACATCCACCTTGCAACCTGCAGCGACTTCAAATGGACACCTGGTGAAATCTAGGAATGACCAAACTTGTCTGGCTGGGTTTTTACCTCCCTTATCTGAGGCTTCCCTGATTGCTTTTCCTCCTCAGTCCCGAAGAGTTTACCAGCAAAAAATACAGGAGGGCAGCAGGTATTAACCTGCAACACTCACTTCATCGAAAGGAATCAAGACAAGTGTCAAAATGGCACAGAAAAGTGTTCAAATGTATTGCAAAGTTCAGCAAGGTGAGCCAGCAGTGCTGGAGAAGCTGCTAAGGGAAAAAAAAATCTACTTTAAAGTATGGGTTTTTTTTAAATGAAGTTTTTTTACAGGCTTTTCTGTTGTTTCTGCTCACAGTGAGCTTTCAGATAAATGCATTGAACTCCAATGTAAGAAACAAAAGTTCAAGCTCCCAAGGTTGAGAAAGCCACCTTCAGATTGGGTCTGCAGGCTTATTTTCTCCATCCAGGAGTCTGGCAGAGATGCTCGATCATCTGTTAGGACGCTTATTTCTGTGGAGGGCACAGCTGGCTCCTCCCCAGAAGAACCAAGATCTATATTAGGTGAGTCCTTGCTAGGAACCTTTCACTCTACCTGAATTCCAGCCCCACCAACCAGGGCAAGAAGGATTTGCACAGCTGCAAGGTGAAAACATTTCAGAGGAGTTTTTAAACTTCATGAAGGGGACAAGTGATGGAGGACCTGCACAGTTCTCATTGTCCCTCAAGCACACGCACACCTCAGCCCTTCCTTCCTTCCTCACCAAACGTCCCCAGTTACAGCCCAGTGATACCATGAAGGGAGAGTCTGGACAGTCTGTTCAACCAGCATCAGTCCTGCTCAGATGTCAACTGGGAGATCCCATCTCTGCAGGCTCTTCCCTTAAATCTTCTAATGGAGCAGCTGAAGCCATTTAGTCCAAAAATCCTTTCCAAGACAGTTTGTTCTTAGCATTTTTTAAAGAAAAATCCTGTAGTTTGCTGTGTGTTTTGTTTTAGCAGCAGTGAAAGATGATCTCAAACCCAGGCTCAAAGTAAAACCAGTTTCACCCTCTAGGCACAGACAGGGTGAACCACTATCAAATAAAGCATCTAGCAAGAAGGGGTGGGTAACGGCAATTTCCCCTTCCCTCCCGATCTAGGACAATCAGAGATTCACCAACCAGTTTGAATGCTCTTGCTGGGGCTGCCTGGGAATTAGTTTCTTCCAAGTATATCTCCCACGAGAAGGCTTTAGAATCCTTGTATCCTGAAAAAACCGCCCGAGAATTCACATTTAAGTAAAAAACCCCACATTTATTGTTACAAACAACAGAAAAGCAGCCATGTAACACATGACCATTACATTCATTTAGCACTTAACAATGGATGGCACTGGAAAGTGTCTGTTTATTCACACACAGCACTTCCAGCACACACAGCAGCACTGCAAGCTCCCCCACAAGCTTCTACCCAGCACTTTAACCCTGACCCAAAAAACCTGAGGAGTTCATTTCTGTACAGATTAATCAATTCTTATTCTCCAGAGAAAGCAGCCAATTAAGGAGCAGTCAGAGGATTCTGTGATGTGCAGTTGTATCACTAAATTAACTTCCTGTTTTATTAACTATTCCATGTGTGAGCGCCTGCAAGATTGTAGAAACTTCTGTAGCTACCTACTCACTCATAGCTGAGTAAAACTGGAGATAAAAGGCCCCACTGCCTTAATCTCAGACACCTACATGGGTGTGCTCCTCTAACAACAACGGGATGTCTCTCCCTGGCAGCTGCATTTAAGAAACTGCTCCACTTTATTCCCCTTCCTGTTGCATTCTGTTTAACCCTCAGTACCATTTCCTTTCGGCAGGAGGGTGCAATGACTGAACTCACAGGACAGTCTGCAAATTGCTGCACGTAAATCTCTCAGCAGAGAAATTAGAATTGACTGCAGATGCTGCTGGGGGCACAGGCAATCGTGATACGAGTAGGGGAGCTCACACCACAGCCTTGTTGCATGTCCCAGGAGCAGGAACAGATGAGGGCCTGCTGAAGAGCAAACATTTCCAACCCCTTTTCATCTGCAGCAAAGGTACAGAGGCAAACTCCTCCAATGCAGAGGGATCTTCTAGTGCCACCCACTCTGCTAAACTCGATACGCAGTAATTACAGAAATTCTTGCTCCAGGGCTGTCAATCTAGCAAACAGCAGACATCACTTTTTGTTTTTGTTATTTTTGAAGTGAATGAGCACTTTGAAGGCCTGAAAACAACATTGATTTTCCTGCAGGTGCTGTCCTTTTTCATTTGCCAACATTCTCTTCATCTACTGAATTCCAGTGCAGCTGAAAGAGATGTGGCTTCAGATACTCCTTCATTTCCAGAAATTTCATCTCATCATCTATGAAATCATGATACCGATTCCTCTTTCTCCCAGCTCACCTTAAAGGAAATGCTGCAAATACATCAAAGTTCTTTCCCTTCTGAAATCAAATTGAAGTACAAATTACCAAACCTTGTGAAAGAGCTATGAACCAAAATACAGTGCAGTGGCAAAAAGTATGGACATTAATATTGTTTAGTCAGGAAAATGTGCTGCATGGAACCTGTAACTTGTGGATACATAATGATGGGGAAGATGAAGCTTGCAGGTTTTTTGACCGAGGCAGGAAATAAGTCTCACTTTTAACGTACCAGGTGGTGTTGTCAGTGGGGTTCCAGTTTCTTGGCAGTAGCCGACAGGACGAATATATGGGCTGCTAGCTTCACACCTGAATCAAAGAGGGAAAGTTGGCACCAGTCAGTTTTAAAGCAAAAAGCAAAGCAGGATTTCAAGTGCAGTCTGATACGCCTTTGCCGGGTTAGCAGATGCTTGCAGTGGGTGTGATCGTGGTGTCAAAGACAAGCATTACCTTGTTGGAATTTATAATGCCAAGTTTTCAAGGCATTCAAGCTGCCCCAAAGGAGAGGGAAATACAGAGAAGAATGTCTGATTTTAAAAAAACCAACAAAAAGCCCCCACACATGGACCACACCAACCACAGTTCAGCCTGGACATGGATCACCCAAGCCAAAATGCAATGGAAGCAAGGAAACAAAAAGCAAGTCCTCGTCCCTAACTGAAACACCAGTGAAGAAGGAGGAATTACTTTTAAGGCCTTTGCCAAGAACTGCACATTATCCATTCATTCTAGCTGAAATCCAGCAGTAATCTGCCTGGTTGCCAATTTTATTGCGTGTTTAGATCTCCTGAGTCCCTGAGGGAGGCAATGAGCCCATTTGAGACCGTCCCTTTTGTCACACCTGCTCCGAGGAAGGGACCAGAGCAGTCTTTCAGATCTAGGAAAAAACCTGCGTGTTTTCAGTCAAGCTCTACTTTGAAGCTTTACTTGCTTGTGCTTCCCATTAAAATTTCCAAATCCCAAACAAAACATGGCATGAAAACAAAGCTTCATGGGCTGAAATGGTAAAGGAACAAGATCTGAAGTCCTGAAAATGGAAACGCTCTCAATGATGTATTTATGGCAGAGAAAGAAAAGAGCAACTTGCCACCAAACAGGTGCCTATTCTGAAATAAACAAACAAAAGAAGATGGGGAGGGAGCACAGAGTACTGATCAAACCTGTGCTGTTTTGCTAAGCGTGTGCCTTGTGTTATTTCCCAAATTCAAAGAAAGTTGCTTCATTCATGTAGGTTGGAAAACACAGAGCGAAAATGGAAAACATTTCCACCTGGCTCAGCATGAGAGCAGGGGACTGAGATTCCCAGATGCAGAACAACTGTAAAAATTAGGACTTAAAAGCCTAAATGTTGGCAACCATTTGTATTTTCAAAGGGCCGTAGCCAAACTCCGCTGAAGCAAATGGGAAAGATTCTTCCTGACTTCAGGTACTGCCTGCTTCCAAACGTACGTTTGCAGAGAGACACGCCAGCACACACCACTGGTCCTGCAGGAGAGGATGTTACTGATTCACAGGCAGCTCAGCTAACCCTGCTGCTTTTGCACTGAGACAACTGATGAGCGCTCAGACAGCAGGGGAAGCTATTGGGCAACTTTGTAAAAACCCAAAGCAATAATTCAGATGCTTGAAAACTCATTTAAGATCCCAACTTTAATGGCTACATTTAAAATAGTAGATATTACCCGTAGTGGAAGAGCACAATAAACCACAGTCTACTTGCAGATATGTATTAGAAACAGAATCTCTTTACCAGTAGTCATAACTCTCATCCCAGTTATCGAAGTGAATAAGCAGGCGGTTATCCACCATGTCCACGATGGTTGCAACACACAGCAGCGAAGGATTCTTCTTGTCCACTGCCTCCAGTTTCATCCCCAGACGAAAACCAGAGGGTGTGACAGGCTGAGGAACAGGACAGCAGGAAAGGGAAATCAGTCACGCGCTAGGTCAGAGCATCGAAACTACCCTTAGAAACTCATTTGGTGCAGCTTGTAGCCCCAAAACCCACAGACCAAAACACAGTACGGTCAGATTTCCATGTGTTCTGGCAATGACCGTCACTGCCTCTAAAAAAAGAGCTAAAGTAGCTTGAATAGCAGGATCTCCAGGTGCACAACAACCCAAACTGAAGGGCTAAGATGCTCATGCCTTGCAGTGAGGAGTATTGGCTGAGGATAAGCGTGAGCACTGCGGGTCCTGTCCTATTAGTGGAAAAGTTAGGAGTTTTCAAGGAAAACGGGTGATACAGTTGGCAGAGCAGAGCTGCAGTCAGGCCCTGAAGTCAGTGCTCTGTCCATCTGCAGCATCAAATCCACCAGACCATGGACTGTGTCAACTGAGTGACACAAAATGGGACCGAGTGTTACACAGGAACCGAGGCTGACAACCGGAAAGCAAGCAACAGTGGGCAAAGGATGAAAAATGCTCACAATTCACAGCCTCACAATGAATCCCATGGCACACATCAGTATGCGGCTGGAAACCAGAAATTATTTTGGAAATGATTAAATTAGAGGAAAGTGACACAAATATCTTGACCGTAAGGCCACAGCAAAACAGACCGTTGTAATATATTTCATAAATGGTAGAGTAAATCTTTTCCTCTGGTACTAAAGAGGAAGGGAAATACAAATTCTCTCTCTGGAAAGCCAGTGACTGGGAGAAGGAAGAAAAATGGTACTGGTTTCCCATCTTAAAAATAAATAACAGCAGGAAATAGCTTGTATCTGATTGTACCACAGTTGTACCATGTAAACATACATAAAACCCCATGTAAACATTCTGGTCCATGCTCACTAAGCATCAGACCTGTTTGAAACATCTTGAATTCAGTATCACCACTTACAGTGCTGAGGGTCTTAAAAAGGCTTTTTGGAGCTGCTTGAGCTTTGCAATTCTTCAAATAGGAAGTCCAATTAAATTCTCCCTCCTTGAAGCCTAGCAAGAGAGGTAAAAAGATTGTTTTTACACAGCCCCTGTTACATTCAGATTGGTTTTTCAGAAATGGAAATTACCTGGGAAGAATATGAACTTCGCATGATAACCGACTTTCTGCAATCTTTAGGGGTTATGCGCTGCAGCTGAAACACCTCTCTCTTTTTCAGTATAATTTCCAATCATTAATCTCAACCTTCAAATGTTTCTAGGAAATTGAATGCAGGAACGAAGCAAGTTCTGAACCCCAAAGAGACTCCTTGCTTTACCCGCTCATCCAATAAGGAGTGTGTAATTTGAGTAACAACGTCAATCTTTGGGAATATCAAAAGGGAGCCGTTCTGTTCTTTTGAGATTCATTACCTTCCTTACACCTCTTCCCTTTAAGCCACTCACACTGAGTTCCACAATGAAATCAGACTCAAAACGAAACATGCAGAGCCAGGACAACTAGTTCTTAGTAGGATTTATAGTTTCTTGTACACCATTAGGGTTTTTTTTCGTACCTTTAGGAGGGAGCAGCTTATGACTTGTTTTTTCACACCAGCCGACAGGATGGATGTCTGAGGAATCAGCGTTAACCCAGAAGTCGTAGCACTCCGGATAACCATCGAAGTGTAATCGCATCCTGTACCCCTGGACCTATGACGAGGGGAGCTCTGATTATCAGAAAGGTTTATAAAGAACCAAAGAAAAACACCAATGAAATGTTCCTTCCATATTTGGAAATACAGATACAAGTAAACTTAAGAGCTCATTTATTTCTCAGAAGTAATTCTTCCTCCTTTACGTCTCTCAGTTTCCATTCTCCTGTTTTCCTCACTTCAAAAAGTTGAAAATAAAATCAGTGTCACTTCCCTGGCCTCCTGTTCCACACTCACGTACACATTCCTGTGCAGCAACACCTGGAGCACAAACGCAGCCTGAGAACATTCATGTCTATACAAGATCAACACAGATTTCACCAAACTGAAGCAGCATAAAAGCATTTTGACTTTCTTATATTCAGTAAGTCTTAGGGCCTAATTACACTTTTATTTTTCACTCATTCATTGCATGTAATTGATAGGTCTACTACTGTGAGTTACAGCTGCAAAAATCTGACAGCAGGACTTCAGGTATAGATATTTAACCACATACCACTGCTCCTTTGGTGTCACCTTGAACCATTAATTAATTCAAGTGCTATTATTCTTATGTTTCTACTTGTTATTGAAAAAAACCCTAAATGTACACAGGAGTTTTGGAACCAAAGACAGGAAGAGCGACTACCTCAGCCACTGTGAGAACACAAAATCGAGAGGGGTGTTCAGGATCCAGCCCTTCCAATTTCATTCCAACTTTAAATCCATTTCGGCCTTGTGGGAATGACTGATACTGTGAGAGGGGAAGAAGGAAACACTGGTTTTTAATTGCTAAAGACAACATCTATTGCAGAGCAGTCATCAGATATGCTTACAGATTCAAATTTTCAACTCGGAGAAGAAAACTGTATCACTAAATGATTGCTGCTTTAATAGACAGGCACAGGTACAGAGATCAATAACGGCACGATCCCCACATTTCAGATTTGTTATCCTAATTATTCTCTCGCAAACACTGAACCAGGAGCCTGTTGCAATGAGCTATGAACAGATCTTTCAGCAGACAGAAATGAGCTCTGTTCAAACACAAAAGAATCCCCTGCGCAGCCCAACGCAGGCAGAAACAAAGAGCTGGGAAAGTGAAAATCTGTGTCAGCACGAGGTCAGCAGTCCAGACTTCCCCAAAAGGCAACTTTTCATCTCCAAATGGTAAAACGGGCAAGGGCATGTTTGATCTGGAGCCCATTTACACAGCCATTCCAGAAAACGCTTGTGTTTTGCATTTATTTGCTGTCTTAATCCAAATCAAACATGTGAAGTATAGTTACAGGCTTGAAAAGAAACATGTCCTGGAAATGCACACGGTTTCTTGCCCCCACTGCCGTTACCTGACTTTCCTCCTCCTCTCGCTCTGCGAGATGCCAACAGCCCTTGGCTTTTTAGAGCTCACCAGGAGTTGAGCTCCTCATGTGGGCCGGTGCACTGGAGGGCAGAAACAGCTCCACCAAGGCTAAAGCCATCCTCAAGGCATCAGACGATGGAAGACATTCAACTGCCTCTCTCCAGCGTCACTTGGAGATGGGCTACAGCCCACTCCTCCACAGCTACCCAGAGCCGATCGCAACAGCTGCTGTTTATTTGCAAGTGAGACTCAAGCAGCATTTCTCACACCCTGGGTTGGGATGAGACTCACAGGGCAGCTGCGTGTTTCCACAGCGCTTCCGGGCTGGAAACAAACATGGGGAGGGGGGGTTTACTGCACTGAAACAACTCCGAAATGTAACTGCTGCCTGGAGGGGAGGCTCCAATCCCACCTCTACCGAGTCAGTAACGCTGTGACGCTGCCTGAGAAAAACAGAGCAAGAGTTGAAAAAGCTGCCAACCTCTCTGAACAGTTTGAGGGGAGCTGCTGGCATCCGCTCCTCTTCTAAGTAGGAAACCCAGTTCCAGGCCTTCTTCTTTACAGGAGCAACTACGCAACCAAAAACAAAGAGAAAAATGAGTATTTCTCTCAGATGCCTCCCGTTCTGCCCTCTCTTTCTCCTCCCACGTACACACCAACGCTGCTTTGCTGTTGTACCCCAGAGGAGGCAGCGTTACCCAACTTTTGAGGAAAGGTACGGCTTCCAGCAGCAGGAAAACCGTGCTAATTTCTCATTAAAAAATAAAATAAAGTACTATATCACAGGTCAAACGACTTGTGGCACCCGGACTGCTGGCAAGCTGCCTATGGAAAGTTGCCACTGTAAAGTTTGGACACGACAGAACTTAAAACTGTGGAAAATAATTCATTCTCCTGATATTTCACAGAGGAATAAGGGGTTAGATATTAACTAAAAAGACAGCACAAAGAGGCTTATAATTGCAGCTGAAATAAACCTAAAACAAAACAAATGAAAAACCAAGTGAATTTTTCTTCAGTTCACAGGATTTATATACATATATACACACACATATATCTGTAACCTGCCCGTACCACAATGCATCTACTAGAGATGCAGCTACTGGTACACAGATGATGCAAACAACCTGGGGAGGTGCTTGGACTCATTCTAGTAGGACCACGGTCATACACACAGAAAATTCTATTTTAAATGCATATTGTACAATCTGCCCCAGTTTACACATGCTGACTCCTTTAAGTGATAGAATGAATTTAACCCATAGTCTATAATCCATCACATGTTGTTTACAACTTAATTTTCTATTGAGCGTTTGCAGTCTGGGGTTATGAAGCTCTCCAAACTCAATGGGAAAAGGTTCTTATTGTCTTCAGTGAGCTTGGGTCAGGCTGTCTCCTTCTGCATCCCCTACCCTGTGCCCAACATGCAGGCAAATCCAGTCTACTCCTGCTAATACGTTTCAGAAGACTGGCTGTGGTAAGAGTTTTGTACCGAAGAAGCTATTCTGAATGTGGAATGAGCTCTACTGTCCTCTCCTCCTCTGTTTACTATCATTCATTTTATAATAGCTAGTAAAAAAATCTATAAACATTAAAGAAAAGAGACTATGAGCTTAGCTCACCTTGTTTTATTGGTTTAGTGTTTCTGCGGCTTTTCATATTATTTGATTTATTCTTCTCCTAGACACAGATATGTTAAAAAAAAGTTTAGCAAGATTGTTTTTTCCTCCCTCTTTGATCATCTCACAATGCAGGTACAATAAGGATGTAACAGGTAACTAACAGGACTATTAGCTCGCATTATTTTCTTCTGAATAAGCCTGCGAGAACATTAGTAGGGTATGTTACATATATAACTTTGATCCTGCAGTATCCCAAAGTGCTTTACAAATTCTTTAATATACACTACTGAAGTTCATTTAAATACGGCTACCGAAGAGCAACACGGGCCCAAAATCTCCATTACAATACACAGGATTTGCTTTCTGCAATGCAGGATTTACTGTAATGCTCCATTCTGCTTTTTCTTTCAGAGGTAAAAAAAATCCTTTATGAAACCCTGCAGGAAGCAGAAGCTTCAGGTAACTCCTGTCATGGATGACCACCCCAGACAACGTGGTCTCCCGGTGTCACCCGGAGCCCCATTGCCATTCACGTTTCCTCTGCGTGGCTTTCAGACTCCCGTTAATTCACTCAGGGTGGTCACTTCTCAGAGCCAACCAAAAAGGGCAAAATTTGAAATGCAAAGCTGCCCGCCATACATTGCCCAAAGAGACGGGGGGGCAGCTGTGAATGAGGAGCAGGAGAAGGGGGAAGAGACAGAGAGCAAGTGCTTCTGAACACATATGGTCTTAAAACCATCTGAGCAATGAGAGGGGTCAAACTGTTCATGGCATCAGAAATTTCGGCCTGCGTTACCATCAAACACCTCCCCAGTGTCTCTGCACTAGAAAAGCACGTGCAATACATGGATATAAATCAAACGGTTCAGGCCTGAGACGCTACACACACGGTAGCAGAGTGTGGGCTTGTACAAAGAAAGGCCCCCAAAAGGTGTTTAATGAAAGTTAAGAAAAGACCAGGTCAGGACTGAGGCACTTCCATGGACCCCCCTTATTTCAGGTTCCTCGCAGTGCAGTGAGTGTACGTGCAGGTACAAAACACAAAGCAATCAAACTCTGTGGTGCGACACTAATCTTCAGTATCACATAACAGCACTTGACTGCAGGTAGATAAAGTATTTTTGGAGGCATGTGTTTTTATTACTGCGAAATACACTCGGTGTCTAACTTCACCAATAAAGTTACAGCCTGAAATCCTGACTGACTCCGCAGGAGCTGTTCACCCATGCGACCCCTCAGCCTCAGCACAGATCTTCTCATTACTGAGATCAGGATCAGACCCAGCCCATCCTCACGGGTACAGAACCACCTCCCTCAGCTCGGTTTGCATTGCACAGTGAAATCTGAGACACAAATGGTCCCTGCTCCTCACAGCTCTCAAAAGAAAAACCACGCAGCCTCGTTTACCTCATCCTCATCTGCATTTTCGTCGTCATCCTCGGACTCCAGAAGCAGCCTTCTCTTCCTTCGGAGACGTTTGACCGGTCTGTCAGCCTCATTCACCTGACAGCCACTGCTGGTATTAAGATTCCTACCATTGCCCCTGTTTCTGCAATCATCTGGAATGTCTCTGATATCACTAAACATCCAAAATCGAAAACAAAATCAAATTAAAAGTGCTACAATATTCCTGCAGTATTCTCAGGGTCTCTGTACCTCTTTATGAACGAGGATGCCTGGGCTGAGGACCTAAAGAGGTGAATCGTGTTTGCAGGATTTTCCAGATAGGTTCTCTTTAAAAGCACTCCAAAGTACCGGCAGAGCTCTCACCACCAAAGCAGCTGGGTTTTAATTTGGCCTTCTGCAACTCTACAGAAAGTTAAGACACCTCCTTGTCTGGAGCAGGACGGGGAACTGAGGCATCAAGTACACAACCAGCACTTCCTCAGGCTGGGGAGAGAAATGAGGACGGAGCTTTCCTCAGCCAGGCCTGAAGGGTGACAGGAGCTAACAGCAACACTTTCCTCTAACACAATATTCTCTTTATATATTTTAAACCACGGAAAAGGCAGAATCTGGGGTTTCTTTACCTGCCCCTGTGCTGCTGGGAGCCCGTTTGTGTGCAAAACTTCCCATTCTCGAAGCAATCCATTTGCTGGCAGGTTTGGAAAGGGGAGCAGGGCACGTCTGCTCTGGGCACTGCAGAGGAAAGGGAAATACAACTATTAAATGAAAATACTAAAACACCTTTCATGCAATCAGTTCTGTCAAAGCCCTTTACAAACTTTCATTAAGTGACCCTCAGTGTCCCATTGTGAGGGAAGTAATTATTATCTGTGCACACAGAACGAGTGAACCACCTCAGTAAAGAAAAACCCCTTTTATCAGTAATGCTCTAATTCTGGAGAAACCCTGGCCCCTGTGAAAGCGATAAAGGAGGATATAATCTCAGTGTTATAACCAAGAAACAGTTACACACCTTTCTGTATTTCTTTATTCCTAGTAATCCTCTAACTTGAAAGGCAAATGTTAAACAAGTCCATCTTGTTCGGATACTTTTAATACAGTTGGTTAAGTTTAAAAACTTCCTATTTTATATAGACTTTGTACTATGAAAATCCTTCATACGCAGCCTCTAAAAATAGCACATTATTGATGGGAGAACAGAAACAATTATTTCTGTATCTAGCAAGGGATATCTATCAATCTTCCATCTGAATGAAAGTGTGACAATGTAAGGAATAACTCCAATATATCATTTATGTTTACTTTCTCCTATGAATTGAGTTCTTCCTAGTGCAAATTAATTTATGCCCAATATTTTAATGAATCACAACACATTACAAGGCATCTACACTATCCCAATGCATACTTTGCTCAAATAACCTGAAGAACAAACTGTGCACAGGGGGTTCCTATGTATCGGTTGTTCCTGTTCTGCATTAACGGCACCGTTTGTGCTCTGGTTTGATCCATCCATTCTTGAATGCATCATTAAACACTTTAGAAGAAAAAAAAAGGGAATTCACGCCACACAGTCCAGAACATTGAGCTATGACTCACTTTGCTTTCTGTTTAAAGCCATTTTCCTAGTCTCCTTACCAGCACTTGTACTCATTCTGCTAAGATGACTGACATTTTCCATTTAAATCCGATTGCTCCCCATAGCCCCATACGGATGTCAGATGGTCCTGGCTGGACCTGGACAGACAGAACTGCCTGCACACACAGGGCACGCCTGCCTGCTCCTATCACAGCTTAAAACCTCTCCCTGTGCCGCAGGGAGCAATGATTCCAGGCAGAGAAAAGACAAAATTGGGAAGACTCGCAGGAACCGAGAGTGTCTGAAGAATCAGAAGTCACCCTGATCTATGGAATACACTCGGATTACAAGAGTGTGAGAAATCCTCAGTGCTGAGGTGTCCATGCAAGAGCCGGTTCTTCATCTGACGTGTCCTCAAGACGAGAATGACCCACGATCAGCAGGTGCGTAAGGGGATGTCTGTGCGTGTAAGGGAATCTGCAGAGCTCACCAAGAAATCTGAGATGGGAAAAGCCAGCAGGGAAGACAGGTACCAAGCCTTCCTACCCAAAACCAGAAATAGCCCCATCAAAATCCTGGGAAAAGCCAACTGCTTGTCCAGGCTGGCAACATGAGGAGAGATCGTTCTCCCCTTCAAGAAGAAATTCTGTCCACAGGGATGTACGGCTTCAGCGATGGAGCCCTGCCTCGACCAGGGATCCAGCATCGCTAAGAGACCGTGTATGAAGAGTGAACATCCTTGGAGACCACACCAGGATGCACTGGTGATGTTGAGGTCAATCAGACACTGAACAGGCCTCAGCTGCTGTCCTGTGGTGCCTCTGTGTCCCAGACTAATTCTCAAGTCCTGCCACCACCTCAGGAGAAGAGCTGTTTAGGGACAAACCTCTCCATGCCACAACCACATTTTAGCAAGAGCGTCTTTAAAATACAACCCTATGCTGGGTGGCTGATGGTACCCTTGGGATGGGAGCTCTGAATCCTCACTCACTCTAGCACTGGTCTCCGTTAGTGCTCTCAGGAAGGCACTGGCAAATCCACGAGGGAGCTCTGTCCAAAATGTAATTTAATCAAAGAAGTGAGGCTGGCCAGCAAACCAACCGAGTGGTCTGGAGTGAAAGAGCTCAGAGGTTATCATGGAAATATTCTGGTTTGAGCTACAGGTTTCTGCATAAACAGAGTAAGAAGAGGTCTGTAAAGAACTGAGATATTTCTTGCCATTACACTAATGTGCGTGTCCAGTAACATGCCTGTATTATCCTGTTAAAACTCAGTTTTTCCCTAATTGCAATTACAGCAGTCTTGAAAACCTCCAAATTCTTATGGCTAATGGTGCAACTCTTGGCATGAGCCAGGTTAGAGGTTAAATCATAGAAGAAAGTAAGGATGTTCTTGTAAAGGTAACTGACACCACAGGGGATCCACCCTGAGCCAGGGATCCCAGGTTAGCACAGCACCGTGCTGTCCGTTCACACTCCATGCTGCCAAATGCACACAACCAGAGACAGGAATCACGCTGGAGACTTCTGTCGCCCCTGAGAGTGCTCAGCTGAGGCACAGCTGTACCCGTAAATCAGAGACCATGTCCTGCAACCCAGCCTCCTGCACCTCCAGCACTCCTGGCCCAGGGCACCGAGCACCATCCCAAGCAATGCCCAAGTGCAGATCAGGAGCTGAGCTGCTGCCCGGTGGGTGTGACCGCTGTTTTGAAGGCTGAGAGCATTTAATAAGCTTATATATATAAATATATAATATCTTTCATATAATTTTTAATATATATGTAACGTTACGTTACGTTACGTTACGTTACGTTACGTTACGTTACGTTACGTTATTTATATATATATACATATATAAAATCTATTCTGGTCCCAAAGCCCCAGAACAGGCAGTTCAGTTCAATACAGACCTCACTACTGTCACGACAAGTGCATCACCTGTGTTACAGAGGAACATCGATGCCACTGCTGATCCTCTACTCCGGAAAGAAGAGGCTCCAACTTCCCAGAATCACCAGTTAAGGGGATCCCAGGACGAAAGTTGAAAGTCGGCACGAGAGGGATGTTTGACTACACCGAAAAGTCTCCCCCAGGTTGTTTCTATAACCACATTTACCTTTCACAGAGGCGAGCACAATGCGTGCGCCAGGTACTGTTATGACTACGCAGTGATTACACTCACTCTAAATACTCCTAAAATATTCGAAATAAGACAGTGACTCACTCCGCATGCTGCTCCAGGGAGCACCACGCTACCGAAACACGCATTTCGGCTAGACCTGGTTCTAGAAGCTTATTTCAGAAACCGTATATTCCCTTCCACAGCAAAAAGCTCACCTTGCCAAGCAGCGCTAGAGGCGGCAGAAGCGTTGATAGCAGCAGGAGCAAAGCTGGATGGGCTGGCATTTACTGCTGATGCTCGAAAAGCTTTTATGGCTTCTGCTTCTACTTCGGTAACGATTTCTAGCAGTCCAAACTCATTTAAACGGAACTGCAGGTAACAGAAGAAAGCAAGCGAATAAGCAGTAGTAAATGGGTTGGAAGGGGGAGAGGAAGGAATAGGGTTCCCTGAGGATCCACTAGGTACAGGAGAAAAAGAAACTGCTTTATGTACATTAAAAAGCATTAAAAATAAGGAACAATAAAAGTGAGAAACACCCAACACAAATCTTCCTCAAAACGCCACCAATGGGCCTCAAAAAAGCCCCAACGATGCATTTTGTTGTCAAGGAAGCAAAGCAACAATAATTCTACCTGCTTTGAATGTGCTCCCCCTAGAAAACCCAGACACATCAGAATAAACAACCTCAGAAAACCCAAAGCTGACGCCTCAAATTGATCCAACAAAGCCCAATTACCTTTACTGCAGTTACGACATAGAGTAACTTCCCTAAAACCTGAGCACGAGCAGGAATCACCCAGCCGTTGCCAGAAAGGCCACGTCCCAGCGCAGAGCTTGGCCCATGCGTCCTCCAGCTGGGGCTGCCCGGGCTTTACAGAGCTCAGAGCACAGCGACCGCACAAACACAGTGAGGATCTGGGCTGCAAGAGGCCAAGCGGTTCTCAGCCTCCCTCAATGGCACTCAAGAGCCTGGTGGGAATTGAGCTTCCCAGAGGAGCACAGGAACGCAGGGACAGGCGGAGGTGACGCCGCTGAAGAGCAGCAGACGCTGTGCAATGTCTGTCTTTGTTTGATGAGCTCCTCCTTACGCGCTGTGAAGCCACAGCGGGGTCCTGACCCAAAGACAGAAGGGAGAGTCTCAAGTCCAAACCAGAATAACCCAGAAATACAGCTAACAGCAGCCACAGGCAGCACTGGTGGGTGGGAGACATGGACCAGTATGGCCAGGAGCTGCAGTGTCTGAGCTCCCAGCCCTGGCTTCCCAAGTTTTGCCCCTCAAGAAGCTGCTGGGGTAGGTGGCCCTCCCCACGGTTCTGCAATCACACCCATCCTCTGCTCCAGCACAGCACCCACCACCACCCTGCACACACACAGTCCTACTGCAGGCCAAGGGTAAACTCAGATGCAGAACAAGGAAACTCCACCAGACAGCACCCGGCAAAGCGCTCACACGACGGGGTAGCGATGGAAAAGCAATGACATGTGGCAGACATCAGAGACTCATATCCTTTTTAGCTTAAAACATTTCTTAGGCTATGAAGGAACACTTAATTGGTTCAGATAAAATTATTAAAGTGTGTCAAATAGTGTCAATGTGCATCTTTTATTGGGCCGGATCTGCAAGGACAACCAAGCACCCAAAAATACAGTGATTTTAAAAACATAACCTTTCTGATGAGCAAACAGCTCTAAAGATTACTCACTCCTTGATCTTCCTTACAGTCTGCAATACGGAGCTACTGAGCTCCAGAATGAAAGAGGGAAGTCAGAGGTGGGTTGCATTTGCAAGCTTTGCTCCAAAGCCTTTATTCACAGCACTTGATTAGTTTGGGGTCTTTTCTCAGCCAGCCACTCTTCACTCAAACCCGCTAAACCCGGTTGAAAAGCACTTGCTTCACCTCTGAAGCAGGGCTCCTCATCGCATTGGGAAGCTCCGTTCCTCCTCTACCCCTGGATCCTGCCTCCAGCACCCTATCAAAGCCTCATCCCAATGTTCTTCCTCCTCTTCCCTCTTTTTGATCTGAGGCCTGGATTTCTCAAAGCTTCAAAGATGCTGGACTTGCTTCTAAAAAGTTTCCTTTCCTCTGCAGCCCTGAAGAGAAAGAGCATCGG